TTCTTGGGGGCTGAGGGAGCCCCTCTCTTGTGCTTGCACAGTTCTGTCCCCCAAACCACAGACAGTCCCTTTTCCAACTTTGTGTTCTGTCCCTTTAACCTGTGCACCATCTACTGAGGGCAGAGGGGGAGAGGGCGTGGCATCCTGCGCCCAGCCTTTCTTAGCAGCTCAGCCCTCAGCCAGGCACAGCCTCAGGGCGCTGTGGGGCACTGCCATAGGGCCTCAGGCTGAGAGGAAAGGCCTGGGGGGGAGGGGGCTGTGGGGACTGGGGGGGTGTGGGCTGAGCGGAAGGGGGGCTGTGGGGAGGCAGGAGTCTGAGGGGACGGGGGTGGGGGGTGGGGGGGGCTGTGGGTTGAGGGGAGGAGGGACAGCTGTCAAGAAGGAAGTTTTGGGGTTACCCTGGGGGTCATAGTTCAGAACTTTTGCAGACTCACAGGTGTGCCTCATGCATAGTAACTTCTGCTTTTAAAGATACACACTCAAATCTCTTAAACATTCCTTAAGGTTTTAGGATTGTTTTGTTTACTCTTTAATTTTCTAAGATTTGTTTTCAGATGTTGAGTTTGGGGGGTCTTTCTACAAGGGTGTCACAGGAGAGCTGGAGCAGTGCTTCTGTTTCTATGTGAGGAGAGAAGGTCCCTTTAATATTTAATACCCTCACTGCCAGAAATAATGTGCTTACATCAAAACACACATTTTTAATGAAAGCAAAACCAAACCACACACACACACTCACACACACACACACACACACACACACACACTCACACACAAGGACACACACACACAAGGACACACACACACAAGGACACACACACACACACACGGACACTCACACACACACAAGGACACACACACACACACACACACACACACGCCAATGCTTTAAGAACTGACCGGGGAGGAGAGACTATTTCGGTCACTCACGCTCCCGCCTGTAATGCTGAGGTGTGCGCACTCAGACAGGCAGGGGGCCGCTGTGGCTGAGGCGGCGGCAGCCTGTGGCTCCTGCAGGCACTGTCCTGGGCCCATCCAACATCCTCATTTTAAAAGGCCCCTCGTCACCCTGTGTGACCAGCGAGACCCCATTCTAGGAATCAAACCATACAAGTGACTGGGTCTGGAGGCAAAGTGTTCTCCGTGGACCTAAGAGCCCAACTCCGTCTCTATCCTCCAGGCCCGTGGTCGCGAGCCAGTGTCAGGAGCAACTCCCGGCCCAGCGGAGGCGCACGGAGGGCCCGCGGCGCTGCAGCGGGTGGGGGGGGCGGCGGCGGCGCATACGGGGGTCGCAGGGCAGCGGTCACAGACCTGGGGACCCTACACGTGCAGATTTGACTGTGCGCTGGGCTCTAGTTCTGAGTTTAAACAAGGCAAAAACATCATGCAAAGGTGTTTGGCCGACAGCTGTGTCATTCACAGTGACATGTGGCAGCCGGCACGTGGCTCTCGGTTTGTCAGTGAGATGGACGGCCCGGTGCTGGCGAGAGCTCACCGGGGAGGGACTCAGCCCTCGGAGGGTTCAGGGAGGGGACACAGCCATGGGGGGAGGGGGCACAGCCATCGGGGAGGGGGGCCGAGCTGTCGGGGAAGGGGGACACAGCCCTGGGTGGAGGGGGCACAGAGCTTTAGGGGGAGGGGGACAGTCCTCGGGGAGGGGCCAGCTCCCGCCATCAGGGAGGTTTCCAGAGGAATGTCCGGTGCTCAGCCTCCGGGAGGGACTGTGGCACATCCAGCCGCGCTGGCCCGTCCACCAGCCTCAGTACTGCTAGTGACGATGCGAGTGACGAGGAGGGAAATGAGTAAGGAGGACGAGGCCCGTAGAACCGTTTTCCAGGAAGAGGACTAGAAGGGAGGGTTTGGTTTCGGGGAACCGAGAGTTCTGAGGGGAAACCCTCAGGGAGACAGGGGTTGGGGAACCAGGCTCCAGGCTGGGAGGTGCGAGTGGCTTTAGAGGAGAAATCTCTGCTGGGACTGAGTTCTGATGGACGGCCAAATGCCAACATAAACCAAACCAGGTCTGACTGCCAGGGGGTGGCAGGGTCAGCACGAGGACGGGTGGAGGGTCAGACGGGGAGGGGTGGGGGATCAGGATGGGGAGGGTGGGGGGTCAGGATGGGGAGGGGGTGGTCAAGGTGGGGAGGGATGGCGGGTTATGACGGGGAGGGGTGGGGGGGATTCAGGACGGGGAAGGGTGGGGGGTTCAGGATGGGGAGGGGCGGTGAGCGGCTGGCTCAGCTCAGCCTGCCCCACCTTGCTCTGCCCGCACACGGCCGGCTTTCTGCCTTCCTCCATGGAGAGCCTGCTGTGGTTCCGGGTGACGGCTCTCCTGTCGGCGATCTTCCTAAAACACCAAGTGTGATGGCGCTGCCGGAGGTCAGGGTGGCTGCAAAATGTGAGATGTGCCCTCGGAGGTCCATCCGAGACGAGGAGCCAGAGTGGTGCTGAGAGACGCCGGCTCCCGCACAAGCCCCTTTTAAATGTGAGGCCGGAGCCCGCACGGGGCGTCCCCAGCGCCCAGAGCCGAGGCCGGCCGTGGGGTGTGTGTCCTCCCGTGGCAGTGCCATCCAGCTCCTCCACTCGGCACCAGGTCCGGACTGCACGGTCCCTCCGGCGCCGCTGCACCAGGCCCGGCGGGGACCCCGCTCTGCACTCCGCTCCCTTCAGGAAAGCCGAGAGCCTCCACGTGTCCACATGGAAACCACCGCCAGCGGCACAGGCAGACGGTTCTTTTCAGACAAAGATCAACTTGGAGAATGAGAAGAGGGTGTGTGCTGTGTTGGGGTGCAGGGCTGCGCCTGAGCCTGTTCTCTGTCCACAAGGGGTGAGTGACGGGGGGACATCTACTGACCCAGAAGGCGGAGGAGAGCTCCGACCACAGGCCACAGTGAGTCCCGGCCGCAGGGGCAGCAGGTCTGGAGGCTGACTGCAGTCCCCGGACCGGCTCCCTCTGCCTCACCACGTGGCCATCAGTCCTGGCAGTGCTCCCTGATGGCCAGTCATGGGGGACTTGGCAGTGCTCCCTGGTGGCCAGTTGCAGGGATGGCGGACCACACGCAGTGGCGGGAGGCCCAGTGTTCAGAACCAAAGGGAATGGAAGACCAAGGCAGAGTTCACGTTGCCACCAGAGGAGCACATCGTGAAACCGATACGAAGGCCGATTGGAAACCAGCAAGATTTAAAATAATTGAGACTTAGGATATGTGTACAGAAAGGGGAAAACTTTCAAAAGAAAAGACACTTTTTCCTCGATTTATTTCTCAAATTGAACTTTAGCCTCGCACTTTAAAAAGAACAAGTGCAGTAACAGAAGCTCCCCCACGCTCCGTCTCTCACGGAAATTCCATATTCCCACAGGCACCACAGGCGAATGTGAGCTCCAACACGGAGAGGGAAATACATGTTGTAGTAGAGTCTTTAGTTGCCTCAACGCCATCCGTCATCTCACTTTTCTTCATGTTCTCACTGAGGGTGCAGAGCCCGAGAGCTGTGCTTTCCCATCTGTTCTGTGTCAAGCTTTTTGCTGACATTGCAACAAACATTTTCAGAAAAGGGCATTCATTATTCCTTGTACATTTTCACTTAGTGACATAACCCAATTAACCAAAAAAGAACTCACTATACCTTAAAAAACAAACAAACAAACAAAAGAAGGCCGCCCTGCCGGTGTGGCTCAGGGGCTGAACAGCAACCCAGGAACCCAGGGGCAGGGCTCTCTTCCCGGTCAGGGAACATGCCAGGGTTGCAGGCTCGATCCCCAGTAGGAAATGCAGGAGGCAGCCTATTGATGGTTCTCTCTCATCAATGTTGCTATTTCTCTCTCCCTCTCCCTTCCACTCTAAAAATCTGTAAAACATATTAAAAAGAAGGGAAGAGGAAAAAGTCGCCCTGTGGCATTATGCAGCCGCTAGAGGGCGAGGCTCTGCGTGACCGGACCGGAGCAGCTGCTGCTGCAATGCCCTGAGGAGACGCCTCCCGGTGAGGGACGGAGGAGCAAGGACCAGCACCTGTGCACACCCAGGCTGTCGGCTGAGGTCAGAAATGGAGGTAGAAACACATGTTGAAAGATGAATATTTTTCTTTATATACTTGTATTGTCTTACTCATGAAACAAGTTTTAAAAGAAGAACTCAATAAATAACATTTAAAAATGCAATCTGGCCCGGCCAGTGTGGCTCAGTGTTTGAGTGTCGACCTCGGAACCAGGAGGTCACGGTTTGATTCCTGGTCAGGGCATATGCCTGGTTTCGGGCTCGGTCCCCAGGAGGCAGCCGATCAGTGATTCTCTCTCATCATTGATGTTTCTCTCTCTCTCCCTCTCCCTTTCTCTTACATCAATAAAATATATTAAACACAAGAACATATTCTGGAGCAGTCTAATGCACACCCTGTGGGGGAGGCCGGAGCGGAGGGCCGGTCAGAAGGGCGCAGTGCAGACACCAGGCCGCTCACACAGCCATGAGAACCCAGTGACGTGAGGCGCTTCCATGGGTGCGCCGATGCCGCAGTCACCGTGCCAGGAAGCGCAGGCACGTTAGAGATGGCTCCATGCCCAGCCGGTGGTGGCGCTGGTGGGCGCACTGCTCCAGGCACCACAAACAGGCTCAGGGCGGCTCCCAGTCCTGCACACACCTAGCTGTCAGCTTCGTTCCCATCGGGGTGTGAATGGAGGCAACCAGTCGACATTTCTTCCTCCCGCTCACTCTCCTCTCCCCTCTCTCTAAAATCAGTAAAAATAAATAAGACAAAAAAAAAAAAAAAAAAAAAAGTAGCTTCAATTAACCAAAGAGACAAAAATTGAACTATGTAGCAAAATGCATACCTTCTACTATTTTAATTTAAAAAAGACTGTAATGTACGGAGGAGGCTAATATTTATCTGAAGGAGAAACTTCATTAAAGCTACTAAGACTCACATGGGTTTCATAAAAACAATCTGATCAGGGCAAGAGAAATATAAAATACCTTTTAATAAGTTGACTTTTCTTCTTGAAAACGAGTCCCCTATACGCTTTTATTTTGAACCAAGAGTAGGGATGGCGGCCGAGAAGCCGGCAGGATTTCCGGGTAGGGCTGGAGGCCCAGCTGCTTGTTGTCCTTGAGCTTCTGCACTATGACTCTGGCGAAGTCCTCTCCCTGGATGTCAGTGGTGTCCAGTAACTGCCTGACCTTGGCGGTCCTCGTGGGCTTGGTGCTGACGAGTTCGTAGTCTTCCTTCATGATCAGGTCCCGGGACAGCAGGGCGTCCAGCGCCTGGTTGAGGCAGGCCTCGGTCATCTGGCTCACGACCTCCTCCCTTTTGCTCTGGATCCACTGCTGGGCCACCCCGGGCTGCGGGCGCTCTGCACGGTGCCGGAGGGAAGGCGAGGACAGACGCGTGAGGCAGAAAACAAGATGGGAATAAACACAGAGGCACACACCTGTGTCACTGTGACTGTGCTAACGTGGAAAACCAGCATTTGGGGGATGCTGTTAATTTTCTCTTCTCGTCCCTCCCGGAAAAGCACTCCCTTTTTATCTGCTATAAATGGTGGGGCAAAACCATTTTCCATACCTGCATATTTGTTAGATAAACAAAAGCAACTTTGCCTTTAGTAACGTTCCCGGTCACCCCTGCGCCCAGCCGCCTTGCCTCCCCAGACCTTGAGGGATCGTCACTGAGCTGTGACCACGCGGCCCCTGAGCTATGACACACGCGGCCCCTGGTGCTGGGGCTGGAAGTGCTTCCCGACTGCAGAATGCACGTGTTTGCCATCTTGGGGAGTGAAGACAGAACCACTGACCTGGCAGACCTATTGGGCAGAGTGTAGAGCTGAGCGGCACCACTGATGCGTGTCGCAGCCGAAATTTACCTGAGTTTCCCTCGGCTGAGAGGGGGTGTATTGCCAGGGAGCACAAGGCGGTCTCCTGGTCACAGAACAGGGCCGTGGGAGCCGCGGACACATCATTACAGTTGTGGTTGGCCGGGCGGGGAAGCAGGGCCGAGCTGTCCGGGGTTTTTCCTGAAAGACAGCATTGCCGCTGGGGGAGGGCGTCCCAGCTCTCCCTCAGCTCTGGGCAGCATGGTCACACGGGGAGGACAGCTGTGTCACACGGGGAGGACAGCCGTGTCACACGGGGAGGACAGCAGTGTCACACGGGGAGGAGAGCCGTGTCACACAGGGAGGACAGCAGTGTCACACGGGGAGGGCGGCCGTGTCACACGGGGAGGACAGCAGTGTCACACGGGGAGGACAGCCGCGTCACACGGGGAAGGAGAGCCGTGTCACACGGGGAGGGCGGCCGTGTCACACGGGGAGGACAGCCGTGTCACACGGGGAGGACAGCCGTGTCACACAGGGAGGACAGCCGTGTCACACGGGGAGGACAGCAGTGTCACACGGGGAGGACAGCCGTGTCACACAGGGAGGACAGCCGCGTCACACGGGGAGGACAGCAGTGTCACACGGGGAGGACAGCCGTGTCACACGGGGAGGACAGCCGTGTCACACAGGGAGGACAGCAGTGTCACACGGGGAGGGCGGCCGTGTCACACGGGGAGGACAGCCGTGTCACACAGGGAGGACAGTAGTGTCACACGGGGAGGCGGCAGTGTCACACGGGGAGGAGAGCCGTGTCACACGGGGAGGACAGCAGTGTCACACGGGGAGGACAGCCGCGTCACACGGGGAAGGAGAGCCATGTCACACGGGGAGGGCGGCCGTGTCACACGGGGAGGCGGCCGTGTCACACGGGGAGGTCAGCAGTGTCCACCCTCTGCTGCTCCAGCTGCGTGCACCCCTGGGCTGGGAGTGAACGCTCCTGAGAACAGGAGGGCTTATCCGAACGCTTTCCGGGACCCTCCCTGCCGTGCCCATGTGAATGACACATCATGGATCTTGCTTCTCTCGTCGCCCCTCCCTCCTCTGTGTCTCCACAGCTGGAACCGTCCTCTACTCGGTGTGTGGAGTAGAGGGTAACACGCTCCCCTTGTTACCCTGTCACTGCAGGCCTCAGCAGCCACCTCTTCCCAAGTCCGAGTAATTACCTCCTCTGACTTTACGGAACCTCTGTCTCCCATTTTGAGCAGCCAACTGGGCATGGCCCTCATGCATGCTGCTGAACACCTCGCTGAAAACATTACAACTTAACACCTCAACTTTAAACTGTCTCATCACTAGCATCAACGCCCTCCCCACTCCCGGCTTCTGTGTCCCTCCCCCTATCGGGGACCCCCGCCCCTCCTTGCTCTGATCAGGCCTCGTCTCCTTGCTCTCCCCAATGGACTGGAGTCCAGCCAGGACCGGACTTCCTGCAGCAAGGACTTTGCCATCACTCCCTTGCTCAGAAGCGAGCAGAGGTGGCTCCCACCCAAGGGAAAGTCAGACAGCACAGCCGGGTCGGCCTCACCACACCTGGCCTCCCCATCCGTGCGCCCCTCGAACCCGAGCCCCGAGGCTGTTGCTCCGCCTGGAATGCCCACCCTGCGTAACGACAGGTCCAGCCTCCGCCAGCAAGTTCTTGGTGATGGCAGAGCCGAGCGGAGCGACATGAAAGCATGGACCAAATCGCCTGCTCTCAGCACGAAGTGCAGCTCCTGGTCATGGGGCCCAGGGTCCCCGAGGCTCCTGGGAAGACACCCCCCTCCCCCCACCCCTCACCCCAGCTCCATCACCTCCCCTGCACCGCCTGCGGCCACACTGTGCACACACAGACACTGCTCCTCTCTCAGAGACGTTCCGTGTCTCCCTGTACCGCCCAGCAGCCTGCCGTCCACTCGGGAGGGGTCTCATGGACAGCCCAGGCCTGTACTGTGTCCCTCGTGAACATGCGCCATGGTGCCAATGGGAGACGCGAGCCATACAAACAACTGTTTGCCAAGAACACCAGCTTGAAAGAAAGTGGGAAACTGAGCCGTGCTGACTACGAACGTACGTACCAGCTGCACAGTCACCGAGTGGAGGCGCGGACAGGAGCCCGGCGGGAGAGCTGCTGCGTGCGGGATGCCGAAGAGCCCCACACGATTCCTGTGGCAAACAGGGCGCAGGGCTCAGGTTAAAGAAAGCCATTAAACGGCATGTAGCTTTCCTTCCTAAACAGTTCCTGCTTGTGGCTTATCGTAATCAAAGAATCAAAATGACAATTACAGCTTACAAAGAAAAAACCACACAGTATGTCAAATAAACAAAAACCTGGTTTTAAAAATCCACTTAAATTGGGGGTGTACAATAATTAAATACAGTACAAATCATAGCTTTCCCAGGATTTGCTATATGATTTTAGAGGCTCTGCACAGCTGATGAGACATTTGAAATCTGCAAATCTGGTTACCTAAGCAGGTGCCTCCTCTGCCCACATCCACCCCCGGGGCCCGCAGAAGCTCGGAGTCTCGGACACGCCTCGGGCGCCGGGCTCCCCGGTGACGTCTGTGTCTCTATCTAAGGGCAGCGCGTTCTGAGAGCGGGAGGTGGATGGAAAGCAGATCTAAAGACCATGTGCCGTGTGGCAGCGCTCATTTGAAGGTCTTTTCTGAATCCGTAAAGTGAACATTGTGTTCTTAAGAGAAGGGACCGATGCAGTAAGCCCAGGTGAGCGCCTCTCAGACCTTTTTGGTGACAGCATCACATGGCGCCCTCCTCCCGGGAGGGGAGGACAGGCAGACGGACAGTGAAAGCTCGGTCAGGACAGCCCAGCACCGGAGCAACGTCCCCCACGCCTGTCCATGGGGACACAGAGTGCCACAGGCCGCGGGCCAGCTGGGCGAGGCACAGGGGCCGGAGGAGGGATTGCCAGCCGGCATGGCTCTGGGCACCGCAGATCCCAGGACCTCCCAGGATAAGACAGGATGACTGTCCCTGTTCTCCTCACGCTCTGAGTTTATCAGCCGAAGTGTTTACCTCCTGTGGACTGTGGCTCAGAGAGAGGTTCAGAGATGCCTCCGATCTTCTGTCACCTGAGCGGACGGCACTCAGAGCACTCTGCACCTGGAGCGGACACATACATGTGCTTTAACACAAGCAACAAATCACATGAGTAAAATTCTCAAACAAATCAGCTTATCCCAAATAGTGATCTTTGTTTTAACAATTTCTTTATGAAAAACCTTAAATTTATATTCTATTCCAGGCCACGTGTGGGTGTGTCACTGACATCCACGCACCAGTGATCTTACCAGTGCGATGGCAACGAAATTCCTGTCCTACAAGTTTCACAGTACTAATATAAGGATTTAAAATATATATCTTTTTTATAGGTTTCAGAGAGGAAGGGAGAGGGAGAGGGAGAGAGAAACATCAATGATGGAAGAGAATCACTGATTAGATGCTTCCTACATACTACTGAGGATTGAACCTGGAACCAGGGTATGTGCCATGACTAGGAAATGAACCATGACCTCCTGGTTTATAGGTTGACGCTCACCCACTGAGACACACCGACCGCACAATATAAACTTTTCTTTAAAAAATTAAAGAAGAACTATAACAACTCTAAGTGAAAACAATACAGTAAGTTAAAAACTGATGAAAGGTGATGCTATTATTAAATGACTAGAGGCTTTGTACACAAAATTCGTGCATGGGGCGGGGGTTCCCCTCAGCCCATCCTGTGCCCTCACAGTCTGGGAGCCCTCGGGGGATGTTGACTGGCGGCGTAGGCCTGCTCAGTCAGACATCCTTAGTGCTTCTGCCACCACTGCTGTGCTGGCCAGCCGTAAGCCTGGCTCCTGGCTGAGCGGTGCTCCCCGTCAGAGAACACTGACCACCAGGGGGAGCTCCTGCTGGAGTGTCTGCTCCTCATGGTCAGTGTGCATCATAGTGACTGGTCATTCTGCCGTTCGATCTATTTGCATATTAGCCTTTTATCGTATAAGATATTCAAGTACTTAAAATTGTATAACTTAAAGTACTTTATTTAAAAAGCCAAAACTTCTAAAAATTAACAGTTTTAAATATAGATCCTAATATGAGTTGTTTGGGGACAAAGGAACTGGAATGGTTCTTTTCTACTTTAAAACCAAGAAAGCAGGTCTTTCTGAATACCTTGCTTAGAAGAAGAGAGTTATGAGGAAAGAAAAGAGAACTGAAAAGATAAAGCAAAAATAAATATTATTGAAGTTTGTATTCACTAAGAAGAGGAGAAAATGGAATGTTCTGGAAAACACTGTCCCTCCTCAGAAGTGGGTAAGTCAATAAAAAGTTATCAAAAGCATTAGCAACGTTTCTCTTTAGTTCCTTAGAACATCAGGCTCCAGCTAGCATTGCAGCAGTTCTTAGTTGGTTAAGGGAAGCCGTTTCCTTTATGCGTGTCCCTTCTACATCACAGGCTGCCAACCAACCCTGCAAACGGGATCACGTCACATTTCAAAGGCAAGGGCTGAGCTGTGCTTCCTCTGCCCCCGAGGGCTGCAGTGGCTTTTTAAACAGCTTTAATGTTGAGAAAACCCTGCGGTGTTAGGTCCTTTCAGTTCTCATCCTCACGAGCCAGGAAGACAAATGCCCTGGACCCACATCAACAGAGATAGGTCTACACAACATCCAGAGACAGGATAACAAAACCAAAAAGCAATTTAATACACAATATAAAATGCACTTAATAAAAGTCCTACAGCTTAACTTGCTATACATCACAGAAAAGCCAAGGACACTGGACAAAGAGAAGTGTAAGAATCTACAGATTACTCTGAAGATTTAGGGAAATATGTATGGATTAAAAAGTTGATTTAGGGAATTCATTGGCATTCATGACATTCTTTCCCCCCCTTTCTGTCTTATTTCTTTTCTTTCCTCTCTTTTTTTTTCTTTCTTGTTGAAAGTATTACAGATGCCCACTTTGTTTTTTTAAAAAATAAATCTTTTATTTATTAATTAAGGTATTATATGTGTACATATCTTATATTACGCCCCCCTCCCCATATATAAGAAAGGGAGAGGGAGAGAGCGATAGAAACACCAATAATGAGAGGGAATCATTGATCTTTTGCACGCCTCACACTGGGGATTGAGCCCTGACCAGGAACTGAACTGTGACCCTCTGGTTCATAGGTCGGATGCTCAACCCCTGAGTGACCCAGCTGGACATGTTTGTTTGGCTTTTCTATGGAACCCCTACCTCCACATCCACCCCTCCTAGGCCTTCACCACTCATTGTATGTGTCCATTTGTGCAGGTAAGTTCTCTGGTTCATCACTCCCCTCCCACTCACCCACCCCACCTTCCCTCTGAAATCCGTCAGCCTGTTCCATGCTTTCATGTCTCTGGATCTATTTTGTTCGTCAGTTTATTTTGTTCATAAGATTTCACATCTGAGTGAGATCGTGTGATACTTGTTTTTCTCTGACTGGCTCATTTCACTTAGCAAAATGCTCTTCAGGCCCAGCCCTAAAAGATAAGAGTTCTTTCTTTGGTACTAGCTGCATACTGTTCCCTGGTGTATATTACCATAGCTCTTTCATCCACTCCTCTGCTGATGGGCACTTGGGCTGTTTCCAGATCTTAGCTATTGTAAATTGTGCTGCTACAAACATAGGGGTGCGTATATCTTTCTGATTTGTGTTTCCAACTTCTTGGAATATATTCCTAGAAATGAGACTACTGGGTCAAATGGCAGTTCCATTTTTAATATTTTGAGGAAACTCCATACTGTTCTCCACAGTGGCTGCACCAGTCTGCATTCCCACCAGCAGTGCACGAGGGCTCCCTTTTCTCCACATCCTCACCAGCACTTGTCATCTGTTGATATTAGCCAATCTGACAGGTGTGAGGTGGTACCTCATTGTCATCTCTCTGATAGTGACTCAGCATTTCTTCAGTAGGACACTTTGGAGAAGTGTCATGACACATTTCATATTACAATGTAATAGACAAGAGTTCTGGAAATGCCTGGAATCTGGTGCCATCAGAATGGCATGGAAAAGCCCTCAGTGACAGAGGACAGCATTTATAATCTTTGACAAACTCCTCCCCAATACTTAGCCCATCCTTGTGAAAAGTACATAGGTAAGAATTAAGAACTAAACTGAAAGTCATGGTTGTTTAAAGTCTGATTTCTAGTATTTCATTTAGCAATTATTTACCTTGGTTTTCTTTAGTTGCAAAACAGCTTCAAGAAAAGTGATCTCTTCATATGTTCTCAGGACTGGCTCAAGCTCTATTAAACATTCTAAATAAGAAAAAAAAATTGCATCTAGTCATTAAATTGAATAATATAGATGCTAATATTTAGCTGATAAGGCCCTAAATCAATTTTTCCCACTAATGACAATTAATTGTCTTAATAACCTCTACCATAGGCATAAAGATATCATATATACACCATAAACAAAAGTAAACGTAAAATAAACTAAACTTAAATATAAGACCTAGAACAATAAAACTCCTTGAAAAAAAAAAACAGGCAATAAACTCTTTGACATCAGTCTTAGCAATATCTTTTTAATATTCAGATTTTCCTAAAGCAGCAGCATCTAGCCTCAGCATGTCCCATACCTCTCTCTAAAAGGCCCCAGGCCCAGCATGTCTCCTCAGACAAGGCCAACAAAAACAAAAACAAGTGGGACTACATAAACAAAAATTTTTGCACAGCAAAGGAAGCCGTCAACAAAATGAAAAGACAACATACTCAATGGGAGAAGATATCCAAATAACCTATCCTATAAGGGGTTACTATCCAAAATATACAGTATAAGGAGCACATACAACTTAACGTGATACAACTGAAAAGTGGGCAGAGACCCTGAACAGACATTTCTCCAAGGAGCAAACACAGATGACTAATGGATACATGGAAGTCCTTGGCATCACTAATCACCATGGAGATGCAAATTAAAACCACAATGAGGCATCACCTCACACCTGTCAATGTTGATCATCAATAATCAACAAGTAGCAAAAAAGAAAAAGAAAAAATCAACATACAGGAAGTGCTGGTGAGGATGTGGTGGGACTGTAAATTGGTACAGCCCTGTGGAAAGCAATATGGAATTCCTCAAGGAATTAAAAATAGAACTTCCATATCACTCAGCAATCCACTTCTAATATATTTTTTTATTTTATTAATTTTTTACAGAGATGAAGAGAGAGGGATAGAGAGTTAGAAACATCCATGAGAGAGAATCATCGGATCAGCTGCCTCTTGCATACCCCTCACTGGGGATGTGCCTGCAACCAAGGTACATGCCCTTGACCGGAATCGAACCCGGGACCTTTCAGTCTGCAGGCTGACGCTCTATCCGCTGAGCCAAACCGGTTTCGGCCCCACTTCTAATATTTATCCAAAGCAAACAAGAACCCACATCTGAAAAGATATGCGCACACCTGTGTTCACTGCTTGTTTACAATAGCCCGAGGGGAGCAGCCTGCTGTCCGCTGACAGGGAGGGGTCAGGTTGTGGTGCACTCCCCAGTGGAACGCAGACCAGCCATCTGAGACAACAGGGTGGACCTCGGGTGTTATGCTAAGTGAAATAGGTAAGACAGAGAAAGACAGATGCCATATGATTTCATATATATGCAGACTCTAGAAACAATAGATACAGAGAACAAATGGATGGTTGTGAAAGGGGAGGGGAGTAGGGAGACGGAAGAAATAAGATAGACATCTAAATCAAAGGAAAAGAAACAGAACTGAGAGTCTAAAGTTAAATCCTTCCAATTATGGTCAACTGGCTTTTGACAAAATTGAAAAGGACATTTAACGGGGACAGGATAGTCATTCCTGCCAATGGTGCTGGGACAGTCGGAGAGCACATGGACTTACTCTTCCCCGCATAAACTTACTCTTCTCCTCACACCAAATGTGGACTTAACCGGAAACAGAACAAGCACAAGTGGAAATAGAGGAGAGAGTCTTCATGCCCTGGGTTAGGCAAAGAATTCTTAGACATGACACAAAAAACAGGGTCCATGCAAAACTGATAACTGAACTTCAAAATATTGAAAACTTTTATACTTCAAGAGACACTATTAAGAAAAATGAAATACTGGCCACAGACTGACAAACTACTTCTGCATGTCCCATGTCTGCTGAAGGACTTGCGTCTAGAACATACAAAGAACGCTGGGCGACTTAAACAGACAAATGACCCAATTTAAAATGGGCAAAAAATTCAATTTCACCAAAGGGGAGAAACAAATGAGTAAAAGCACATGAAAATAAGTTTCACATCATCAGGCATTAGAAAATGCAAATTAGCCGGGGCCGGTTTGGCTCAGTGGATAGAGCATCGGCCTGTGGACTGAAGGGTCCCAGGTTCAATTCCTGTCAAGGGCATGTACCTTGGTTGCGGGCACATCCCCAGTGGGGGGGGTGCAAGAGGCAGCTGGTCGATGTTTCTCTCTCATCGACATTTCTGACTCTCTGTCCCTTTCAATTCCTCTCTGTGTAAAATCAATAAAAATATTTTTTTTTTTTTTAAAAAAAGGAAATGCAAATTAAAACGACATGAGATAGCATTCCACACCCATGGGAAGAACTGCAATTAAAGCTCAGACAACAGCACAGCCATGCACATGCAACCTCACGCCTGCCAATAGGAACGCAAATGATCAGCCACCATGGAAATCAAGTTTGGCAGTTTTTAAAAAATGGCAGATAAATTTATCAAAACTGAGCACTTTCACTCACAGGTAGTGACTGAGAGCCATGGAAACACGTTCACACAGATCGCAGGTGAGCAGCCACAGCGGCCCACTCGTGGGGACACTCAGAACTACCATCACTCGGAGGACAGGAGCCTGCTGCTCCAGGGAGAGGCCAGCGCTCCCGATAGAAAGCTGAGCGCCACGTGGAGGAGGTGGACAGGGCCACACAGGAAGTGTCACTCACGCGGAGGAGGTGGACAGGGCCATGGCGGGCAGCACCAGGCAGAGTATGGAGCAAAATTCGGGACCTGGAAGAGGGCTGAGGCTCTCTGACAGTTGCAAGTTGTGAGGAGGAAGATAAATGGAGGAGGAGATGTATTCTCTTGTGTCTGGAAACCACCAGAGGAGAAGACACCAGGATGATCATCTAAGATAGCAGCTCCTAAGCCTTTAGGACTCAGACTCTTCAATTACCCAGCACCCCAAGAGCTTCTGCACACGTGGCCATGTCCCCTGATATTTAATAGATGAGAAATTAAAACAGAAAAGCTTAAAGCAAGCATATATGAGAACACATTGTGTTATCTGTTAGAGCAATGATATCATCACGCCTTGTTGAACTTCTGCAAAATCCACTCTTGAAGGGTGATGAAAAGGGAAGTATGTCCTGTATTCATTATTTTGAAAACAGTGTTGGTTCTGAGAAGTCCTGAGTCTCCAGGAGCAGCCCCCGGAGCCCTGCCCCTCAAGGCAGTGGGTGTCTCAGCGGGAAAGTTCCGATCTTTCAGAAGCAGTTTTAGCGCAGTTTGGGCCATTGATTGGAAGAGAAACCAGGGCCCTGGCTGATTTGGCTCAGTGTATAGAGCATCAGCCTGCACAATGAAAGGTCCCTGGTTTGATCCTGGTTAAAGGCACAAATCTCGGTTGCAAGCTCCTCCGTGGTCTGGGCCTGGTTGGGTGCGTGAAGGAGGCAATCAATCGATATGTTTCTCTCACATCGTTATTTCTGTCTTTCTCTTTCACTCTCCAAAAATCAATGGAAAAATATCCTTGGTAAGGATTAAAAACAACAAAGTAAAATAAAGAGAAACGAGGGACTTCCACTTGGCCTGAAAAAGCCAAAAAGACCAGAGAAAATATATTAAAGAGTGGATTTTTTAAAAATATATTTTTATTGATTTCAGAGAGGAAGGGAGAGAGAGATAGAAACAACAATGATGAGAGAGAATCACTGATCAGCTGCCTCCTGCATGCTCCCTACAAGGGATCGAGCCCACAACCTGGACATGTGCCCCAACTGGGAACCGGTTGATGCTCAACCACTGAGCCTCACCGGCCGTGCGAAAGAGTGGTTTTTAAGACAGCAGCTGTCGGGCAACAAGGACAATGATGGGAGAAAGGGAGCCTCCGGACTGCAGGCTTACTGCCTTGGGAGAGGGACCTGCGTGAGGTGGAGCCTGGGGACAGGCAGGCAGGCACAGGCCAAGAGGAGCACACAGAGGCCAGAGATGTTCGCTGGCTCCTCCGAGCCAGAGCCCTGACCCATGGGGCGGGGGAGATCTTGCCTGGGTCTCACCCTAGAGCTCTGCCCCGAGGTCATGCAGGGGTCAGACAGGCCTTCTGTGCCTGCATTGCCCATGGTCTGCCTCCCATGCAGAGCCCAATGGGCCTCATGTCTTGTCTGCAGGACCTGCTCTGGCTGGGACCACCTCAGGCCACACAGCAGCAAAAGTGACTTGTAAACTCACAGTGGATCAGCTCTGTCCATGAGACACTCCTCCAGGGCTCCCCACTTCCTGGAAACAGCCAACCCTTCATGACAGCCCAGCCTCTCCTCCCTTCTCCACGCACATCCCATGTGATGCCCTTCCTTCCCTTTTCCTCCGGGACGCGGATTTCCCCTCCAGCTCGGCCTGGCTGTGTCTTTGCGTTAAGACGCTGCCTGGCTGCCTCCTCTTCAAGCTTCGAATTCCACTTCTAAGTAAGAGGCTCCCGTCCCCCTCCCTCACCTCCTGCCACCTGCTCCCGGCCTTGCAGGGCTTGAACAATGCCTGGCGTGGTTGTTTAGTTGTTTCTCTCTGCTTTCAACAGGTGGGCTCCAGGGACGGAGTGACTTAGTCACGGTCACTGCCCTGCTCCCTGCGCCAGCTCAGCGCTCAAACGCCCTGAGGCTGAGGAATGGTGACGGTCCCTCTCGGGCTCTTTTCTGTTAAGAGTCTCAGTGCCACTCTAGCAGCAGTGACCCTTGTACAAACATCGTGACTAACCAGAGGGGAGAAAATAAAAAGTGACTGTGAGCTGCCATCTAACTTGTGAAACTTTGCAAGGCACATTTACTCAGTCTCCGAACTGCTTGTGACTCGGGGTCCAGGCCAGAGTGACTCACTGAGGAAGGATGGCCGTTCGTCCGGGTTCTGTGCCCATCCGCCTTCAATGAGGGAGACCATCCGCGCACGATGGGGGGTTCCGGGGGGCAGGCTCTCTTCGCTGGTGTCGGGTCGGTGTCCTTGCGACACACTGTACATAATCTGCAAAGGGTTGGTGACGTCTGTCAAGACAAATACACGTCATTCATGGGAGAGTTTTATGACCCAATATGCTAGATGCATTCTAAAGCCCACCAAGAGAACAGTCTTAGGACTAATCACTGCCCTTTCTGCTAAGGGAACAGTGCGTCCCAGCACCGAGGCTGGCCTGGCTCCTCCGAGGAGTGTGGAGCTGGCTGCCCTCGCCTGGGCGTGGGATGATCTGGGCAATAGGCTCTGAGCAGCACTGAGCTGAGCCGAACTTATTAGCCCAGGAAGGGCTATGGCGAGCGTGTCAAATTCATGGCCTATGCGCCACATGTGGCTCAGCCAATACAATGGTATGCAAGAAACATTTTATAACTTAATTTTACAATACCCTGTTATACATAATCTATAATAATACAAGTATGATATGCAAATTGACCGAACGATTAAACAGCAGAATGACCATCTGGACTACCTTCCGGATGACACACACTGGCGCCAGGCAAGGTAGGTGCAATGTGATTGTTTGGGGCCCCCACCATCGCTCTGCAGAGAAAGGCCCAGGCCACTGGCCAGCGGGGAGATCGATGGGGGGTGAGGGGGAGGGAGGGCTCCGCCATCGCCCTGCAGAGGGAGGCCCAGGCGCTGTGGCGGGTGAGGGGGGCAGGCCAGCGATAACCCCACAGAAGGAGGCCCAGGCCAGCCAAGCGATCATATTCCACACCTGTTGCCCGCAGAGGGAGGCCATCGATTGGGGGTGGTAGCACCGCACAGATGGCAAGCAGTGGCAGCGGCAGAGGCGGGGCCAGCTGCCAGCAGCAAGGGAAGGAAAGCCCCAATAGGCCCTGATTGCCCGCGAGGCCTAGGGACCCTACCTGAGGAGTCCCGGATTGCAAGAGGGTGTAGGCCAGGCTGAGGGGACTCCCGCGCACTAACTTCATGCACCAGGCCTCTAGTTATTAATAATGAACTATAATGTTCGCTAATGATTGATTACTATAATGGTGTTGCATTCATTTCCCTTACACACCATTTCTCTCCACTAACACCAGCAGCGAATATTTTAGCAGCCGATGGCCACATCTTTATTCTTGTACTGACTTGTTTGGTGTGAGCAACAGGAAATATTTTGCTTTTAGAGAACAAGAAAAATAGGTTTATTTGGGTTATGCTTATTAATTTGGGCAGTTATTCAGTGTCTGGTAAGTGAATGTTCAAGACAAAATATTAATTTTTATTAAAATGTTCTATTATTTTATGTTAATGATGGCTCATTTATTTTAGCCCTTTGTATTCAGAATGTCTCCATCGAAATAAACCTACATTTTCATGAAAATGGAAGCTTTTGTTATTTTGTGGCCCACACATAAGTAAACCTTGTTCATGTGGCTCATGTTAGTATTTGAGTTTGATGTGCTTGGGCTACACAATTAGCATCCAATGTAACTGAGAATACTGTTTTGTTTGTAAGCTGCTGAGACCCTGAGGTTGTCTGCTGCACAGCAAGTGACCTATATAAACTTCAAAGTAAGAAATGGCCCCAGCCGGCAGCTCAGTGGTTAGAGCATCAGCTATTTCACCATGGGGTCGCGGGTTTTAAAAAATATATATTTTTTCATTTATTTCAGAGAGGAAAGGAGAGTGAGAGAGAGAGAGATGGAAACTTCGATGATGAGAGAAAACTACTGATTGGCTGCCTCCTGGGCACTCCATACTGAGCGTCAAGCCCACAACCCCAGGATGTACTCTGACGAGGTACTGAACCATGACCTCCTGGATCATAGCTCAACCACGGACCCATACCAGCTAGACAGGGTCACAGGTTTGATTCCAGGTCAAGGACATGTGCGTGGTTGTGGGTTTGCTTCCTGTTGCCAATCAGGGCTCATGTGGGAGGCAACCATTCAATGTGTCTCTCTCACATCAATGTTTCTGTCTTTCTACCTCCCTCCCCTCTCCTTCCTTCCCTCTCTCTGAAAAAGCAATGAAAAGGATATCCTCCCATAAAGGTTAACAAAAAAATATTAAGAAATAATCTCAGAAAATTTAAGAATTATTCATTAGTGTTTTCTGGTCTTTATATGGGAGCACTAATTAATTTTCATATGAACAGTTTTATAGCTGGAATAAATCTTAGAAATAGGAATTATAAATTCTCATTTTACAGAGGACAAACTGAAGGCTCAAGAAATGTAATAGCTTGATGATAGAACTAATTACTGTCGGAGCAAGAACGAGCATCTGATTTTCCTGACCCTGAATCTAGTCTGCTGCTCGGTGTACACTGGGCTCATGGGAGTTATGTCTTTTTTAGTGTGTTTTCCACAAAACGGCCGGGGGCAGACTTACTGCCGATGAGCCGCAGAGATTCTGCATGTGGCCCACAGCAGGACATCACTGAGGAGGTCAGCGCACACTCACCCTCAAAAGGCTGTTTTCTGGATAAGACTTCCCACATGATGACTGCATAGCTGTTGAATATAAAATGTACACAGCAGATTAGAAACCAGCCCTGCATGGTAAACTGCACACCAAATCTAAAGGTTGACTGTGAGATACTGCTTTGAAAGTGACAAGGTAGTGAGCCGCTGTATTCAGAATCAGCATATACAGCCAAGATGATGAATATTCAGTTTGTTTTGAAAGGGAATTAATCTTGCACCAGCCAGTTTGGCTCAGTGGATAGAGCATCATCCTGCAGACCAAAGGGTCCTGGGTTAGATTCTGGTCAAGGGCACATACTTCGGTTGCAGGCTCCTTTGGACTGGGCCCTGGTTGGCGCATGTGCAGGAGGCAACCAATTGATGTGTTTCCTCTCACATCGATATTTCTCCCTGTCTCTTCCACTCTCTCTAAAAATCAATGGAAAAATATCCTCGGGTACAGATTTTTAAAAAAGAAAAAAAAGAAAGGGAATTAGTCTTAATTTGAAAAATTAGGAAGTTACTGTCATAAAAACTTGAAGTGATATGCATAAATAGCTTGTGAATCATTTAATAATCATTCTTAAACATGTGGATAAGCTATACCCTCTAATTACAGGGTTTTATTATTCACACAAAATAGAGAGCAATAAACAAAGGCTGTCCTTTCCGTATGATTCTGTTCTGCCTTCTTGGGTAGTGTCCCCTCCCTCACCTACATCAAAGTCACATTTTAGTGATAGAACCCTGGAGCATTACATTGTAAATGGATAGGAGAAGAGATACGCTTCAAAATGTTTTCAAGGATCCCAATGTGGCGTAAAGCAAGGCATCCTTAAATTCAGAAACATTCGTCACCGTGACTCTTTATTTCCCCACATGTGGCCTTGCCTCCGTTCCCCAACACGTGGGCTCCCCTGTTCCCCCCTCCCTCCCAGTGCAGCTTCCCAGTGCTGACTGCTCGCTCCGCGCTCAGCGGTGAGCTGAGCAAGTGGCGCCGCACCTGTATATGTCGTGCTTGACGCTGGCCCGCGCCTTCTGCCCCGGCTCATAGTTCTCGGGCGGCATGTAGATGATGGTCCCGCCTTCTGGGGCAGCCTTACTGTTCCGTGACTGTGACAGGGACATCAGGCGCCACTTCGATAAGCCAAAATCTGCGATCTGTGAGGGAAGAGCCAGGGATCGAATTTAGAGATGTTCTCTTTAAGCCATGTTATATACGTTAACATTTCATTTCTACACACGCCACTAGGCTCTTTGATTCTGTAGTGCTGAGCCCAGTAGTGGATGGAAGTTTAGCACCACAGGGTTCAGAGGCAGCTTCTGCAGAGGACAGGGGTCGTTTTCCTGTGTTCTGAGTGATGAACACGCTGTTTCTGACAAGCAGCTTCACAGCATGTGCTTCTCAAACCACCGGCCGCTCCAAGCTGACCTCCTCATCGCGTGGGAGCCTCACTCCAGTTATCATGGCTCAGGCTTACGTGTTCTTGTTTATAGCGCTCTAGAATAGCAGCCTTGCATTCTGAGAGAAGAATACCTACAGTGTGCAGTTCGTTAGCCTATGGCTCATGCTCCTCTCGGTGAACCAGGTCTGTGGGCAGCAGTGCCATCAGGACTAAAGCACTACACCCACGCCAACGACACCTAAAGCATAGGCACGGACCGGCCTGTGCTTCTGCCCGTCCTTCAGTTTTATCTGTAAGCCCCTGCACATGTGACACTCTGTCTGCCAGCTCAGTATTTAAAAGGTGCCTTATTTTTTAAAAATGGAAGACAAACGGTAAGAACAGACACATGTCCAGCGGGCGAGAGGCTGTGCCTCGCAGATGGCTGTGGGTCTGCAGGCCGCCGCTGCGGAGCTCCCAGGAGCAGGGCAGCTGAGTCAGGACACACTGTGCTTGTTGTTTAACACCCATATTTTCACTAGTTTCAACAAGAAATCTTCTGTTCAGTGTGTAGATGAATTTGAGATACAATATGGTCCCACTCCAAAGGGGAGGGGTGGAACAAGAGCAGTGTTAACATTTCTCTGCGCCTCGATGACCCATCTGTGGCCTGGGAGTGATAATTCTGGGTACCATGGGTTGTGCTGAGGGATCCAAAGGGGCTGAGCGGGCATTGATGAGGTGCTCCTCACAGGACTCCCTCCCTGAAGGCTACTCTGTCCACACAGTGCACCCAAGGCTCTGGGTGTGCGGGCTCCAGGGAGCGCACATCCCACTCAGGCCCGGACCCGGCACTGAAACTGCTCTTCCCTCCACCTCGGAAGGCAACACTGCTCCCGACGCCATCTGCAGGGTAAGAAGCATTCTAGGACAGCCCAGTTTATCCCTGTCAGAGAGAGAGGTGCTAAAAAATTAGGGTGTAGCCTCATGTATACCGAAGCCCTCATTTGCAAACAACTGGTCTCCGTGTTGGCCTGGATGGGGTGAGAGCAAGCACAGCCTGAGCGTGCTTCCCATTGCTCCCCTACCCACACACGGCCTCCTCTTTGTCTTCCCCCTGGCCTGGAGACTGCCAGGGTCCTTGCTCCTGCTGACTGAGTCTGGCTATCACACGGCCCAGGCGTCTCTGTATTGAATCGCAGAAAGCCAACTCCAAGGAGGTTGAAAGGGTTATAAAATGCAAGTCTTAGGTATTTTACATACACTTCAGGTTCTTTTTTTTTTTTTTTTAATAAATTTTTATTGTTCATATTATTACAAATGTTCCTTTAATTCCACCCCCCCTCCATTGCTCTCCTCCACCAGGTTCCCACCCCACCCTCTGCCCTTTCCCCACCCCCCATTGTCCTCATCCATAGGTGCACAGTTTATATTCAGTCTCTTCCCACAACCCCCTCTCCCCTTTTCCCCAAGAATCGTCAGTTCACTCCCCTTCCATACCTCTGATTCTATTATATTCAACAGTTCATATTGTTCATCAGATTTTTTTTTTTAATTTCCTTGGTTTTTAGATTCACTTGATAGTTACGTATTTGTTGTTCATAATTTTTATCTTTATTTACTTTCTCTTCTGAAAGAACCCCCTTCAGCAATTCGTATAATTCTGGTTTGGTGGTGATGAACTCCTTTAGCTTTTTTTTATTAGTGAAGCTCTTTATCTGACCTTCGATTCTGAGTGATAGCTTTGCTGGACAGATTATCTTTGGCTGTAGGTTCTTACTATTCATCACCTTGAATATTTCTTGCCATTCCAGTCTGGCCTGCATGGTTTCTGTTGAGAAATCAGCTGACAATCGTATAGGTGCTCCTTTATAGGTAACTACCTGCTTTGCTCTTGCTGCTTTTAATATTCTCTCTTTGTCTTTTGCTCTTAGAATTTTAATTATTATTCGTTTTGGTGTGGTCCTCTTTGGAATCCTTTTGTTTGGAGTTCTGTGCGCTTCCTGGACTTGTAAGTCTAATTCTTTCACCAGGTGGGGGAAGTTTTCTGTCACTATTTCTTTCAGTATGTTTTCGATATCTTGCTTTCTCTCATCTTCTGGGACCCCCACTTCAGGTTCTTGAGAATTTGCAAATACTTCCCAGTACTATCAGTGTTCTTTGTGGGATAGCAGATGAGAAAAGTGAAAGTCATTCTGATTTTTACAAAGGAAAAATATTATTGATTTCATCCATACTGGCGGGAGACTATCCTTACCCCCGGTTTTAAAATTTTATAAAATTTATAAAACTCCATGAGCAATTAATGAAAGAGCCAGAAGAATTCATGAAAAACAAAAGTTAAACGGAAACCAGTGTCAATTTCAGACCGCAGGCTGCTGCTGTGCATGTGGACAGTCCCGGAAGCACCGTGCTCACAGGACTGCTCGCGGAAGGAGTGGTACTACTGGCAGCGTCAATGTGAAAGCAAGCTGTCTATCACAAAACATGCCAATGTGCTACTAACTGCATCCTTGGCCACAGGCTGGCAGGCTTCTCTGGTGCAGAGATCTGGAAGTCACTCGTCTGGTCATTCAGTAGATATTTACCAAATCCTTACAGATGGCAATTCTCAAAATAGACTGCATTTATGTTTTCTTGGAGCTCACAGGCCAACTGGGGCAGATAGCCAGTAAACATGTTAATGAAAATGTGTGTCAGGTGGTGGAAACCACTGTGGAGAGGCTGAAGTGGAAGCACGAGGGGAATGGTCCGGGGTTCCCCGCCTGAAAATGAGGCTGCAGACAGGAAGGAGCCTGCGGGTGTCCGGAAAACAGTCATATATTCTATGGACAAAACGGTGCACCCCAGTGGTTTTAGGGTCACTCCAAACAAACAGGATTATTATCCAGCAGTGCTGACTGCTGGAGAGTTCTTAGCGCTGTGTAATGCAGTCTCATCAGACTGCGCCGTTAACATTAATCATGACTCTACACAAAAAACGGCTAATTAAAATTTAGGATGACACAAAGCTGGGAAACAAATCACAACCCTTGGAATACAGAGACAGCTTTCAGAAAGGTCTTCAAGGGAAAAGTGACCGCTCAGGCTTGACAAGACCAAGCTCTGCTGCCGGGATGCACTCTGTAGAGCACATGGAGACGAGGCGTGGCTCGAGCAGTGATGCCTGAAAGAACGGGTCTCTCAGGGCTTGCTGTTGACCCCGACCTGCCTGTGGGGATATGGCTGCTCCCCCAGAGCTAATAAATTATAAGGAACTGTTAAGTAACGTCTTTAGGACTAGGGTAAAGGCCACCTCCCTTCAATTCTACAGTGGAGAGTGTTTTGTTCAGTTCTGAGGATCAAAATTTGAGTGACTGAAACACAGATTCATCTAGATAGCGCTAGGGGTGGTAGCAGGCAGTCTGAGGGCACAGCCTTCCAAATAGGGGCAGGGCTGTCCTGCAGAGGCAGAACTGGAGCCCGTGGGCAGAAGCAGCAGGGGAGGAGTGTTGGCTGATCACATAAGAAATGTCAGTCATTCCAGGATGGATGTTGAAACTCCCGTCACGGGATAACTGCCCGGAGGCTAGGGATGGCTGCAGTGAGGCCGCAGGGGCTGAAGCAGGGTCCCTAACTGATGTCATCGGCTAGTCTCTCTTGCTAGCAAGGCTGAGGAAGTGCTGTCAGCAAAGGTTTATTTTTCACTTAAATTTTCTTACATTTTTTGTACTAATTTTTCTATTGTTCCAATTTTCCCATTATTTATTTGAACATTTATAATATTTACAATAATCTTCAATCATATATATTATTGATTAAAATGTAGCAAAAGATTATGTAAAAAAGAGCAACTTTAGTATTAAGGGTAATTGAAATCCTTATATCTGCTGCCTTTAGATGCCTACATCTTTTCCTTTATACAACATTAATTCAAAGTGAAAAAATTAACTCGAAAGCATAAAATGATACAGCTTTTAGAAGATAAACTAGAAGAAAATCTTCAATACCTATGCTTACTGAAGAGTGCTTAGTCATGACAGCGAAAGCATGACCCTAAAAGAAAAACAAGGTTAGCTGAACTTCATCAAATGAAAGATTTTGTGAAATACATCTTTGTGAGAGAACTTGCTTAAAGAATGAAAAGAACGAGCTATGCACCAGGAGAAAATATTTGCAAACTACATATCTGATGAAGGACTCATATCAAGAAAACACATACAACTCTCAAAACCAACAGTAAAGAAAACCTCAAAAATCCCATCAGAAAATGGCTTCAGACATAGCATTTCACTGAAAAGGTACACAGATGACACATGGTACATGAGAGGGTGCTCATCATTAGCCATTAAGAAGGTACAAATTAAGACCACAACGAGCTATTACAACACATTTGTCAGAACAGACAAAATAAAAACTGGTGGTAACTCCAAATGCTGGTGAGGATGTGGAAAAGCTGGGTCTTAGGACGCATGGTTGGTGGAATATAAAATGGTGCAGCCACTCGGATGGAAAGTAGTTGGATAAAATAGATCTTAAAAAGCCAAACATGTGACCAAGCAGTTGGGCATCTATCCTAGAGGAATGAAAATTAATGTTCATTCAAAAAGTTGTACAGGATTTTTCATGGGAACTTTCTAGTAATTGCCAAAGACTGGAATGACCAATGTCTCTCAACAGGCGAATAAACAAGGGGTATTCCCATATGTGGGATCTCTTCAGCAATAAACAAAGAACAATTACTAATGCAAGTAACAATATGGATGGATCTCAAAGGCATTATGCTAAGTAAACAAAGCCAATCTCAACATCTCCCACACTATGATTCTGTTTAGGAAGCTCCCCGAATTGACAAGATGCAAGAGGAGGCAAGCAGGTGGTGGTTTCCCGGGCCAGGGATGGCGCAGGGCAGGAGGGTGTGGCTGGAAGGAGCACATGAGCGCTCTCTGTGGTGTGGGGGCTGAGCTCAGTGATCAAGTGACACAGAACTGCACGTGTCCATCGCACCAAAGCCAAATTCTTGATCTTGAAATGGTACTGTCATTATGTGTGATGCAACCATTGGCAGAAAATGAGTAAAGGGCACATGGGACCTCTCTGTATTACTTTGGAAACTTGATATGAATCTATAACAAATTCAAAATGAAAGTTACAAAAGGTGTGCTCCACAATTTCAATCCAGAATGTAATCATTTTGTATTTTGTGCGGTAGTGTAACAGGGACATGGAAAAGGGAGAGAGATTCATTTGGCCAGGTGAAAAAATTACTAATGACTTTTCAAAGGACACACATAACTTAAAAAAAAAAAAAAGTAATGACCTTAACATGAAATTCATTATCCAATAAGATATTCTGAGTCTTCAGGTCATGATGCAGAAGAGGAGGGTTCATATTGTGCAGGTAGTTCACGCCCAGGGCAATTTCATGCAGGATGCGGAATCTCAGCGGCCAGGCCACTTCCGGATACTCCGTTTTCTTCATATATGCAAGAAGACACAAAGCCAAAGTCAGTGGCCAAATTTCCATACATTCATACTTAGGAAGTTAAATATTCAGTGAGAAATACAGCATAAATTAAGGTCAAAACATAAGCTCATTTCTTTTACATAGTAACAAATTTGACATCAACATCACTGTATCCTATTTCCCTAACCCTTAAGAGAAAATAACTTTATAGTACTGATACTTATTCCCTTTTAGTCTATATTGGTAATGTAACTACATGATATTGGTTATCTTTTTTCAGTTGACACAGTTTCAATTATTTTTTAATCTATGTAACACTCATGCACATACACACATACCCACCTCCCCATTTTATGGCTTATATCAAGTGGCCTGTGCACACATGTGAGCACACAGACACATAATTTGTTTCTAGTACATACCAAACCATTTATTCAAATTAATGTTTTAATTTTCTGATTAATATAAAATTAACCATTGTATCTATTAAAAAGTATGACCATATTATATTTATTGACTAAGCATTAATATTTCACACTTTTACTAATGTAATTAATTTGCATTTCAACTTGAAAAATTAGCCTTGAATTTTGTTTTGATGAAGGAGACAAAGTTCATATTTATTTATAAAGCATTTATAATACAGACATTTAAAGCAATGTTTTATATTTCTTGGTACTTACAAGTGATATCCATTTGAACTTTCATTAAATAAATTATGAACATAAAATTTTAATATATTTTTTATTGATTTTTCACAGAGAGGAAGAGAGAGGGATAGAGATTAGAAACATCGATGAGAGAGAATCATCGATCAGCTGCCTCTTGCACACCCCCTACTGGGGATGTGCCCACAACCACGGTACATGCCCTTGACCGGAATCGAACCCAGGACCTTTCAGTCACAGGCCGACGCTCTACCACTGAGCCAAACCGGTCCCAGCTGAACATAAAATTTTAATCAGAACCTTAGGAAAATGAGTATACTCAGAAAAATCAGGTATCTGGGGAAGGTTCTCAGTGAATCATCAGGCACCAGGCCCTGGGCATATTTTCTATCTGGGCATATTTTCTATGTTCTACTGAAAGCTCCAAACTGTGCTTAAGAGTTTTTTTTCTGCCAAAACCGGTTTGGCTCAATGGATAGAGCGTCGGCTTGGGGACTGAAGGGACCCGGGTTCGATTCCGGTCAAGGGCATATACCTTGGTTGCAGGCATATCCCCAGTGGGGGATGTGCAAGAGGCAGCTGATCGATGACTCTCTCTCATCGATGTTTCTAGCTCTCTATCTCTCTCCCTTCCTCTCTGTACAAAATCAATAAAATATATATTTTTTTAAAAAGAGTTTTTTCCCGCAAATGGATCAGCTTATAGTTCAGTGATCACCTGGCATGAAAGTGGGTCAGAATACTTTGTGCTGATACTGGATTTTGACTTATTTCAGCTATCTTTCATGAGGGCAGGAGGGGTGCTTCAAGGCAAACCCCCTAATAACGCAACACAGGAAACCAAAGAAACACAAATTCTCATGCTGAACATTAGTTCCTCTGATATATACAGAGCCCCGTCCACTCGGTGACTGAATCTTTTACTCCATCAAAAGGTAACTTTCTGAAAATTATGTCGGTGACAGAGGGAGAAGTCCTCTCTGCACATGTGTGACATGGGAACTTCTGGTCAGGGCTCCTTCCAGGAGCTGGCAGTCCCTGTGGAGGCTCTAGAATTCTGGAGGCTCAGGCCTGGCTGCCCGAACATCTGCGTGCTGGGTGTGGGAAGCACACATTAGAATTCCTACTTCTTTCTCAAAAAGAAGTTGTGCTGGATTAATACTTGCATCTTGGCTGCGGTGGTGGTTACACACACCTCACACATTGACCCCAACCTGCTTTAGACGCTCACACCGTACACAGAACGTGATGTGTCCCAGGCAAAGAGGAAGTCCCTCCCCCAGAGGCTGTGCTGCCAGCAGCCCCTTTCTCCCATCAGAACACAGATGGACAGGGATTTAGGATTTTACACTTTATATTACCTAGTTTAAACTAAACCAACCTCACTAAGTAGACTGAGTATTGTTGTTTTTTAACATGTTTTATTGATTTCAGAGATGAAGGAAGAGGGAAGAGATAGAAACATCAATGATGAGAGAATCATTGATCAGCTGCCTCCTGCTCACCCCCCACTGGGGACCGAGCACACAACTCGGGCATGTGCCTTGACTGGAATTGAACCCGAACCCTTCAGTCCGCAGGTTGAAGCTCTATCCACTGAGCCAACCAGCTAGGGCTAGACTGAGCGTTTTAAAAAGATTGATTAAGAGAAACTGCAGGCTGGATATCATATCCTCTCCAGCAAACAGATGCACACACACAGTCTGAGAATGAGGTCCCCAAATCTGTTTCCTGATGGGATGCCAATCAAAGCCAGAGTTCCTGGTTCCTGGAGAAAAAAGTAATCGGCACACACCAGTCTGAGTCATAAAAAGCCAATGCATTTGGTCCTCAGCGACAGACATATCTGGCCTACTAATTGAGAATTTTATGAACTGGTACAATTGACATCAGTTTGAATCCTAAGTTGTCCTTAACATAAAATAAAATCCGGCCTGACAGTGGACCATGCAGTGTGCCCTTATACCTTTTCTCTCTCTCATGCCAACCTGATTACACACGTGGACTGGAATTCAGTGTGGAACTCAGTAACCTAAGCAAAAGAACCTCGACCCCTTAGCATACAAGGCCTGGCTTCACATTATTTTTAACACAAAAGAAGCTATAGAAGGTGAAACTTTAGCACTGTGTTGTTTTTCATTATTCTTTTTTTGATACATCTATATTGATCCCCAAATAACCAAAGCACTTTACAGCTTCATTAACGGAATTACAGCCACTGAAAATGTATAATACTTACCCTATGCAGGAGTTCATTTAATGATCCATTTGGCATGTATTCAGTAACTATTCCCAAAAATTCAGGCTCATTGCAAATTCCCAAAATTGGAAGAATATAACTAAATCTAGCTTTGTGTAAAATTTCAGCTTCTCTTAAGACATCATTTCTTTCACTAAAGAAAAAGAAAGCAAAATTATCTTTAAAGTAATGGAAAATACACAGTTATCATGCCCATGATAAGTTAGCCTGGACTTTTTCAGTAATTAGCTTTTGACTTCTTGTAAATTGTGCAACTCTCTGTCCTGTAGTTTCATCATATTTAAAGTAGGGAAAACACCTACCCTGATAGTCTACAAGTTTGTTTACAGACCAAAATACCTTCTATAAGCCACTGACAGGAAAAAGTGCCACGCCTAGGCTATCATTATGATACTTCCCTAGGAAAGAACACTCTGGGTAAGTTTACAAAGTCTATAGTATTAGAAGGATTGGTGTGTGAACTGATTAAACTATTAAGTTTATGTAATATTAAGATGATTAGATTTGATTCGATTATATTAATTAAGTTTATGTAATATTAAGATGATTAGATTTGATTCGATTATATTAAATTTATAGTTGCATACAATGTAAAAATTCCCCAAATATCCTGACTATTAAGACATCTCAAGTTGTAGATTTAAATAACTAGGTTCTTAAATAACTAAGTTGCATGAGGATCAATGCTACTCAGGAATTATCCTCTGGGGCCCAGGAAGCGAGCACTGAGAACAGGCGAGTGCTTCTAACAGGGCCTGGGGGGACTTATTCCTACATAAAACAAATAAATATGGAACCTTAATTAAGAATAAAAAGTGCCAGCATTATGGAGAATATAAAGATGAAAGAACATAGTCTGTGCTCTCAAGCTGCCCAGAAATCTTTTTAAAGAAAAATAAAAACTCACTGTGGTTTTGATTTGCATTTTCCTGGTGGTAAGTGATGCTGAACACCTTTTCAAATACCTGTTGGCCAACTGTATGCCTTTGGATGTGTTAGTTACTGTGACTTGGTAACCTTTCCACAATATATGCGTGTCAAATCATCATGTAGTACACTTAAATACCGTCATACATGCAGTCCGTGGCCACACAGGATGGTGGTCCTGCAGACCATAATGGAGCTGAAGCAGCCCTCCTGAGGTCTAACCTGTGCTGTTTCGCACAGGGACACGCTGCACGGCTATGGCCCGGGGGCAGGGGGCTCTGCACCAGCCCCAGACTGTGTCAGTGTGCTTACGATGTGCGATGTGCATGCACACAACAGCATCGTCTAAAGATGCACCTCTTATACTGATCCCTGTCATTAAGTGGCACATGATTGTATACAATTATATCAATTATATTTGCCAATTATTCATTAGTAAAGTTAAAAATAAGAAAAGATTTTAAAAGAAAAATAAACATAAAATACAAGGCAATTATTCATTAATAAAATTAAAAATAAGTAAAGAATTAAAAAAAACTTAAAACTTAAGATATAAGGCAGAATGTGATTAGTGCCACAAATACACACGTAACTAACTGATTGAATGGAGGACTGTGGGAACCCAGAGGAAGGCGGAAACACTGGGCTCGGGAGCCTCAGTCTTCAGGGAGGTGGGCAGAGCTACACTACGAATGGACAGAATCTACCTTTGGAGAAAGGACATCTAAGGCCCATGTGGCCTCCAAAATGAGAGGGGCCGTCCCAGGGCGGGGCCAGTGCCTGGCACTCATAGAGGTTTAATGGACAAGCACTAAGTGTGTTCAAGGAAGTGAGAGTGAGGGCTCAGCTTCCTGTGAATCAGGCCGCACAGCAGCCCGAAGGGGTGGAAGTGACCAGGGTGGCAGGGCCATGTCTAAGTCCTGAAGCCGGGGAGGGCGTTGATGCTGTTTGCTGGCTTGAGTTGGGACTGCAGGTTTTTAAGCAGAGAAATGACATAAACAGGACAAACTTTTAGGATTCACTTGGCAGCAGGATGTAGGAGCAGCAGAAAGAGGTAGAGCTTGAGTCAGGCGTTAGCTATGATACTAGTTAAGATGCGAAGCAATGCAAGTCTGAAACTAAAGGCCACAATGGGAATGGAAAGAAAAACACCAGCTCACTAGGATGTCCAGGCTGTTGTGGTGAACGGGGAGGAGAGGGGGTGGGGGAGAAAGAGAGAGAGGAGAGAAAGAAAGGAAAGAAAGGAAAGAAATGGAAGAAAGGGAAGGAAGGGAAGGAGGGAAGGAAGGGAAGGAAAGAAAGGAAAGGAAGAAAGAAAGAAAGCCTGCATCCTTTCCATTCCAGTGTGATCAGAGAAGAAGGGAGTTCTTAAAATCAGGTTTTGGGAACTTTGAGTGAGTGGGAAAACAAAAAAAGCCAAAACAATTTAAGGAAGGAAAGAAGGGAAGGAAGGGAAGGAAGGGAAGGAAGGGAAGGAAGGGAAGGAAGGGAAGGAAGGGAAGGAAGGGAAGGAAGGGAAGGAAGGGAAGGAAAGAAAGAAAGAAAGAAAGAAAGAAAGAGAGAGAGAGAGAGAGAGAGAGAGAGAGAGAGAGAGAGAGAGAGGGAGGGAGGGAGGGAGGGAGGGAGGGAGGGAGGGAGGGAGGGAGGGAGGGAGGGAGGGAGGGAGACCCATCAGTTTTCACGGGGATGAATGGGTTGGTCGCGGCACTGACAAAAGAGAACACTGCAAGAAGAAGCCTGCTGGGTAAGTGATGGTGACGCGTCTCACCAAGCTCTGCAAGAATGGCTGTTGCAATAAGAAAAGCAGCAGACTGCCAGACCAGATAATGAGGCCTGCTTTAAAAATAAACAGAGACCAATAAGCCGAAAAATCCTAGTCATGTATGTTTTTGAACAATACACACACACACACACACACACACACACACACACACACGTTTAAAATCCAAGACTTGGAAAACGGCACACCCTTTTCTTCAGCCACTTTATACCCCAACCATGAAGCAGCCAATTAAATCAGTCTGTGAGACCAGCTTTAATTAAAGCTGCATTCCCTGAGTTAAAGCAGTTCAATATTCCCAACAAAACAGTTACTAGGCAGCACGCAGGCAGGGAGACAAGAGCAGCTGAGCCTCAGACAGACGATACTCGCGGAAGTCTCGCTGGTACTGCCCTCTCCCAGGATGGCTATGAGGTCTTCTACCTTCTGCTCTGAGCTGAGCTCAGCCACTTCCTGGCACTGTCACAGGGGCTCATTAGCCCGCGCAGGAGGGGCAGGTGGAGTCAGGTTTGAAGTGCCCTGGGGGGACTCTAAAGCCTGTGTTCTTTCCATTCCAGTGTGATCAGAGAAGAAGGGGTTCTTAAAATCAGTGAGTGGGAAAACAAAAAAAGCCAAAACCATTTTTAATAGGGTTTTATATTTTAAAATGTAAAATTGTGAAATACAGCTTCTATAGGTGTATCACCAAGATTACCAGCCAAAACTCAATCATGGCATCTACAGTAAGGTGACCAGACGTCCCGAGTTCTAAAAATTTGTCCCGCGTCCCTCAGCGTTTTAAAAAAGTCCTGATTTTTGGAAAGAATGCACGATAAGCTAGGGAAGGGCGGCAGAATGGGAAGGGAATATACGGTTTTTGGCAACCATGTGGCTATTTAGCCAGGATATGAGTTTCATATTATTTTTGTTAATTTTATAATGTTAAGCTTTAATAATAACAAATAATTGTTGAGTACTGATTATCGAGAACTGCTTATCGAAGTTCACATTGTTGATCAGTTGTTAGAATTCGACCACTATTGTTTGGACTTAATGAACAATGGCATTTTTTGGGATTGGCATCGACGAAAATATTTTGTAACTGTCTCTCAGACGATACACATCGTACTGCGTGCTAGTAAGCTAGTTAAACAAGTGATGGCATTACAAATCAGCCATTCAGATAATTTAATGTATTTATTTCATAAATACATAAAACTTCTTGAATTTAGCAGACAGTAGTCATATTATTTATATTTTATGGTGGTGGCAAAAAGTCGAGCGCCAGCCTTGAAAGTGACACTTAGTCTATACATAATTTTTATTTGTTTATTATATTTGTAAATTGTACTTGTGTTGAAATTTTAAAAAAATATATCACAATACTATTTTTGCGTTCTATGAAAATTTTTGTTGCTCCATGTAGACCAAATTTTTAATCAAGGCACATCCCCCCACCCCGGCCAATGGTGCCCGCTTTACAATGTTAAAAGCTGGTCACTCAGTCTACCGGGTGTTTGCACCACCAGTCCCGTCTGCACGTAAGGAGCTGGGAGAGCGGGAGGGCCTCTCGGGGCAGAGATCAGGTGTGGAGGGCGGCCCCACCCCTAAACACCAGCTCGTTCTCTTTCAAGTGGCCCCTGGACACACGCGGACCTCATCCAGGCCGGAAGCCCCGGCGCCTGCCTCTCCCGCTGGGTCCGAGCGGGGCGGCCGCCGCGGGCGAGCGGGAGAGGGCCGCTGGCCGGCCCACCGCCTATGAGAAGCGTCCATGAGCGAGGAAGGGGAACTTCCACTTCGTCCCTTGGCCCCCGCGGCACAAACTCGAACGAAGGTCCCGGCGGAGACGCCGCCCGCTCTGGGCGGACCAGGGCCTCGGCGCGACCCGCCTGCGCAGAGCTCACTCCGCGCGGCCCCGCCCTCCGCTCTCTCACCCCCGGGGTGGGCGGGGGCCGGCGGGGAGCGCCTGGGGCGCCGCGGGCCGCCGGTGAGGCGGGGCCGCGCGGCGGGGAGCGCCGCCCAGGGAGTGGGCTCGGGCGGCGAGCCGGGCAGGGGCTGCCCGCGAGGCGCCCGGCGGCGCTCTGGAAACGAAACCGCCCGCCCCTGCGAGAGCCGGCGGCCCGCGCTTCCGGCCGCGGAGCTGGGGGCGGGCGCCGAGGCAGACAGTCCTTCCCGGCGGCCCCCCGCGAGAGCAGCCGCGGCCGCCGCCCGGCTCCCGGCACCGCGCCGCCCGCCCCACAGCGGGCCCGGCCCAGCCGGGCGGCGCAGCCGGAGCGCGAGGGGCGGGGCGGGCGGGCGCCTACCTGTCGAGCAGCGGCGTGTGGATGTGCAGGTGCTTCACCGCCACCTGCACGCGCCAATCGGCGTGGCGCGCGGACGACACGGTGCCGGACGCTCCGCGGCTGACGAAGCGCAGGTCGGCGAGCTTGTGGGAGGGCACGGCGGGCAGCGCGCTGCAGATGGGCTCGGCGCTCATGGCTCCGGCCGCGCGGCCGCTCCCGCGGCCCACGCCCGGCTCCGGCCCCGCCCTGCGGGCGGCCAGACCTGCTGCTGCCGGTGGGCACTAGGTCGCCAGGTCGCCCATGCCCACGCGGCTGCCGGCCGCCGCTTCCCCGGAGCCGAGCCGACTGCAGTCCGTCCGAGACTGGCGGCCCAGCGGCCTGGACGGTGAGGCGCCTCCCCCCGCCCCGCCCCGCGCCGCGCCGCCCGACCCCGCGCCGCCCTGCCCCACCGGCCCCGGCACCGCGCAGGCCCCGCCCCTCCAGTGGCTCCTCCTTAGCCCGCCCTCCGCCCCGTGCAGGCCCCGCCTCTCCACTGGCTCCTCCTTAGCCCCGCCCTCTGTCCAGCGCAGGCCCCGCCCCTCACACTGGCTCCTCCTTAGCCCCGCTCTTCGACCCCGCGCAGGCCCCGCCCCTCCACTGGCTTCTCCTTAGCCCCGCCCTCTGCCCAAGCGCAGGCCCCGCCCCTCACACTGGCGCCTCCCCAGCCCCGCCCCCATGCGCCTCTCCTGGGCGCCTCCCGCGCTTCTCACCCGCTGGCTGGCGGGAGGAGCCGGGCTCCATTCCGCCCCTGCCCTGTGGGGCCGCGCTGCCGGGTCTGTGGTGGTGGTGGGGTGGGGGGGCGCGCCGGGGGGCACACTGAGGGCGGCGGCCTCACGCGCTCCTGAGCCCGTGGCCGCGGACCTGTCGCCCCGGGCGGCCGCCTCAGCTATGCACTGCGGCACAGCCGGGCGGCCTCCAGCCCGTTTAGGGGCGCCCCTGCCCATGGGGTGCCTGGCGGGGTGCCTCAGTCAGCCCGGCTGCACGCCTTCATTCACTCCTTCATCCATTCCTTCGTTCCTTCATCCACTCCTTCACTCCTTCACTCCTTCATCCACTCCTTCACTCCTTCATCCACTCCTTTATTCACTCCTTCACTCCTTCATCCACTCCTTCACTCCTTCATCCACTCCTTCACTCCTTCATCCACTCCTTCATTCCTTCATTCACTCCTTCATCCATTCCTTCATTCCTTTATCCACTCCTTCTTTCCTTCATCCACTCCACTCCTTCATCCACTCCTTCACTCCTTCATCCACTCCTTCATTCCTTCATTCACTTCTTCATCCATTCCTTCATTCCTTCATCCACTCCTTCTTTCCTTCATCCACTCCTTCACTCCTTCATCCACTCCTTCATTCCTTCATCCAGTCCTTCACTCCTTCATCCACTCCTTCATTCCTCCATCCACTCCTTCATTCCTTCATCCACTCTTTCATTCCTCATCCACTCCTTTATTCACTCCTTCATTCCTTCATTCACTCCTTCACTCCTTCATCCACTCCTTCATTCCTTCATCCACTCCTTCACTCCTTCACCCACTCCTTCATTCCTTCATCCACTCCTTCACTCCTTCACTCCTTCATCCACTCCTTCATTCCTGCACCACTCCTTCACTCCTTCATCCACTCCTTCATCCATTCCTTCATTCCTTCATCCACTCCTTTCCTTCATCCACTCCTTCACTCCTTCATCCACTCCTTCACTCCTTCATCCACTCCTTCATTCCTTCATTCACTCCTTCATCCATTCCTTCATTCCTTTATCCACTCCTTTCCTTCATCCACTCCTTCACTCCTTCATCCACTCCTTCACTCCTTCATCCACTCCTTCATTCCTTCATTCACTTCTTCATCCATTCCTTCATTCCTTCATCCACTCCTTCTTTCCTTCATCCACTCCTTCACTCCTCCATCCACTCCTTCATTCCTTCATCCACTCCTTCATTCCTTCATCCACTCCTTCACTCCTTCACTCCTTCATCCACTCCTTCATTCCTTCATCCACTCCTTCATCCACTCCACTCCTTCACCCACTCCTTCATTCCTTCATCACTCCTTCATTCCTTCATCTACTCCTTCATTCCTTCATTCACTCCTTCATTCCTTTCATTCACGTCTTCATTTACTTACTCATTCCTTCATTCACTCCTTCACTCCTTCATCCACTCTTTCATTCACTCCTTCATTGACGCCTTTGCTCCTTCATTCACTCATTCACTCATTCACTCCTTCACTCCTTCATTTACTCTTCATTAGCTCCTTCATTCACTCATTTGTTCACTTATGCACTCATTTCATTCCTTCTCTCACACACTCTTCTGCAGTCAGCAGCCACACCCATTCACTCATTCCCTACTCCCTCCCTCACTTGTGCACTCATTCATTTTTCATTACTTTGCTCGTTCTCTCACTTCCCTCAGCCAGTCACTCTCACATCCTCTCCTCACTTACGCACTCTCTCATTCACTCATTCAGGTAACAAAGACTTCCAGGAAAAAAGACCAGAAAACCAGTGGGAAAGAAATGACCCCAAAATAGTTGAGAAGCTTTGCCTGGCCAGAAGCACTGGGGCCTGTGAGGACCCTGCGAAGCCTTCATTAGGCAGCTCAGGACCACGACCAGGGGGACTCCAAGCGGTCCAGACGGACAGAGCGGCCAGATCTCGGATCTCTTATGCAATGTGAGTGAAGTCCCCAAGGGCAGTACCTGGAACCTCGATTCTGTAGTCCGCCAAACTGTCCATCAAGTACAAGGGCAGAATGAAAACACACATACAAGAAAGCAAGTACTTTCCATCCATCCACCTTAAAACAACAACAAAAACTATGAGAGTCTGTACTCTGACAAACATGGGAGAAAGTCAACAAAGAGAAAGATAAAGGATTAGGCAGTGGTCGGCAAACTCATTAGTCAACAGAGCCAAATATCAACAGCACAATGATTGAAATTTCTTTTGAGAGCCACATTTTTTAAACTTAAACTTCTTCTAATGCCACTCCTTTAAAATAGACTCGCCCAGGCCATGGTATTTTGTGGAAGAGCCACATTCAAGGAGCCAAAGAGCCGCACGTGGCTCGAGAGCCGCAGTTTGCCGACCATGGGACAAGGACAATGTGGGTGGAGAAACCCCAGGATAGTCAGTTTATCTACCAAAACCTCAAACCTATTCCTTTCATGATGGTTTTCACCATTATACAGTTTTAAAAATATGCATTATTATTTATATAGTTTAATTCCCATAATCTATTGGTGGAAGATAAAAGCTTAAAGAATACTGAACTACATCAATTAACTGAGAAAAAAATAATGAAAGTAATTATGCAAATTAGGATAACATGAATTCATCTGTTGAAAATCCTATAAAATCATTGATTTGTTTTTCCATTGTCATTTTAGGAAATAGTAGCTTGAAATCTCTTATCTTTTCAATTTAGAAACAAGACTGAAAAGTTGAAAAAGAAACCGCCTAAAAAGTCCAAGAATTTAAAACATCTCATATTCTAATTTTTGTATTTTTAGTCTAAATGCATCTAGTAAGTTTTAAAAGCAAAGCCTCTATCCTATATAATAAAAGCCTAACATGCTAAGTGTCCAGTCATCCAGTTGTCCATTCAACTAATCAAAGTGTAATATGCTAATGATATTCTAAGGCCGCTCAACTGCTTGTTAGGACATGCACTGACCACCGGGGGAAGGGGGGCAGACGCTCCTACTGGTAGGTTAGCTTGTTTCTGGGGTCCAGCTGATCAGGACTGAGTGAGATGGCCCGGACATGCCTTGGAGTCCTCCCCTCACTGGATGGCCAATCTCCTGTGTCCCTCCCCAGCCCCAGTCATGCACTTGTGGGGTTTCTTGGCCTGGCCTGCATCCTTTCGCAATGCGGGACCCCTCAGGGAATGTTAGAGAGCCAGTTTCAGCTTGATCCTGCAGGCCAGGGGACCCCACTGGTGCACGAATTCATGCACTGGTCCTGTAGTAATTACATATTAATATGTTCCGCATGGGAAAACATTTAGGGCACATTTGGTATCTTTTGCCCAAAAACCAATCTAAAAAATATTTGATATATTTGATGACATGGAGTCTATTGTTAGGAAGAACCAGAGAAGTACACATTTTTACAGTTAATGAGCACAATAATCTTTCTCACTTAATCATTCTAATTATGTTCAGACCTGAGATTAAACATGATGCCATTTAAAAATTGATTGATAGCATGATGCTTTTTCTGATAATTAATAAACAAATCCTTCAGATGTCAGTTGGAAAAAGTAAATATTTCTCTCACTTTAATTAATAGTTTAGGTAATATTAAAATCAAGATGCAGAACACTTCTTAAACATTTTTTTTTTGTTTTGTTTTGTTTTATTAATCCTCACCAGAGGATACTTTTTCCATTGATTTTAGAAGAGTGGAAAGGAGGGAGTGGAAAGGAGAGAAGAAAAAAGAGAGAGAGAGAAACAGCAAAACCATTGATGTGAGAAAGACATATTGATTGATTGCCTTCACATAAATTAGTGATGTCCCACCTGTGGTGGGGATTAAACTCTCAACATAGGTTTGTGCCCTTGACCTGGAATGGAACCCTCAACCCTTTGATGGGCAGGGCCCATGCTCTAACTGCTTAGAAACACTGGCCAGGGCTAAATATATTTCAATGTTTAAAGTTGCATCTTTATCCTTTAGTATTTAGAAAACAGTGAAATTATTTTTTTAAATTCCCAAACCCTGGCCCATGTGGCTCAGTTGATTGGAACATTGTCCCGTGGAATAGAAGGTTCCAGGTTTGATTCCTGGTCAAGGCACATACCTAACTTTTGGGCTTGATTACCAGTTGGGGCATGTACAGAAGGCAACCAATTGGTGTTCTTTCTCAAATAAATGTTTCTCTCTCTCATTTTTTCCCCTCAACAGCCCCTTACCCCTCTTTCTAAAATCAGTAAGCATATTCTTGGGTGAGGATTAAAAAAAATTCCCAAGGAGGTTAGACTAACATCTTTCTGTGAAAAGTACTAAAAAGGAAAAACAAAAGGTGAACCCAATGCGAGAACACCTGACAAGGGTCAGGCACCTACCTCATTGAGCATGTCCTGGCAACAGGGGATTGATTCACTGCATTTTGAGCTGGGCATTTAAAAAATTTTTTTAAAATTTT